CCCAATAATGCAGGGCCCAGTCCCTGATTCTGGTTTGAATTGTCCTGATGATGTGTGGCCAGTTCAGCACAGAACTTGGGGTATATCACCCCTAAACAGATTTTAATAAGCTGATCTTTTGCTCCAGATCTTCCTACAAAATCCAGAGCGCTCCGGAGTGATGCTGGGCGGCTGTCCACATGTGCGCCCAACTGTGCTTCCCGCCACCACTGGCACAAGTCACTCCGAGGTCAGAACAAAGTGCTCAGCCATGTGATCAATGGTGGGCACCTCATTTTTGACCTCAGAAGGAGCAACAGGATGTGCATGTGAACAGCTGCCTAGCATGTGCCCAGGTAATGGGAGGAATACAGGGCAGCATTGGGACTTGAATACTCCAGGCTTCTCCCAGAATATTCTGACTCATGTGGATGCAACCTTAGCTGGCCTTTGGTAAATTTAGTTGGGTTTTATTTAGAGGTATCCAGTTATTGATCCCTAATAAACCATATCAGAACTGTTTCAGATAGAGGTGGAGTGTTGGTTGTAATAGAACTGTACGTTTGATATGGATTTCTTTGGAAAGATGTTATGGATTGGTTTTGCTTTTACTCAGAGTCCAATTAGTGGTCAAGATTTAAAAAAAAAAAAAAAGCCCTGGGGCAGAGTAACAAGTCAGCAGTGTGTAGTTTGGCTCATTTGCTTGAGACATATGATACTATTAATCTGTATGCTTCTCTTCCAGTGTGTCTGTTGTCCACATGTCGTGGTCTGAAGCCCTCTTCACTTCTTAACATTCATTATTTGATTTGTTACTTCCCCTTCTACCCCAAGCACACAAGGCAACTAACAATAAAATCCAGTAAAACAAGGCTGGTTGAAACATAAAACATATTTTTTAAAAAAACTGAAGACACTGATGGAACATTCAAAACCACATCTATAAAGAAGAAAATGTTCTCCCCTTCTCTGCCTCAGACCCAACCTGGAAATTCTTAAATATGCAGTGTGTGTGGTATATATTCAGAACACTGCGTAAGTGAGCAAACTGGCTTTCTAATGCAACACTGATATTATATACCCCCCATTTCATTGATAACAATGAATCACATATGTCCAAGCAACACTGAACTGTGATAAAGACGGGTAGAGAAGGTAGAGACAGGTAAAGAAGGTAAAGACCTAATGCATCTGAGAAGTCTATGAAAGCTCATGCTGCCAATTCTTTCTTTCAGTCTCAAAGGTGCTACAAGATCTTTCTACATGTGGTAAAGACAGCAAAAGTTATTGATGAAAAATATATAAGCTAGGAAATAT